TTGAGCGCCGCCGCCGCGCCGGTGCTCTTCTCGCGTCTATTTATACACTGCGTTTTGTTTCGTCTTGTCGCAAGTGAAGTTTCTCAAGCTTGTTATGCATAAAACCACACCGTGGGTGCGTTTTATTACTCCCAGAAGAGGGAGGGAGGGAGTCGAGGGCAGCAGACAGACTCCGTAAGCCTCTCCTGCCGCACAAAAGACGCCGCGTGCTGTCAGAAAACGTCAGAACTTCCACTTCAAGGATTCGGGTCGGCCCGCTGTGAGAGGTTCTCCGGTGCTTCTGCGCCCGTGTGTTCTGGGCGAGTGCCTTCGCGGGGGCTCGTGTTTTTTTTGTTTTTTTTCCCCCGACACCTGCGTGGGCGCGTGTCCTTGTCACCAAAGCGAGTACATTGAATAACTCTGTTTCTTTCTCCACGAACATTTACACTCTGATCCGTTTGACTGAAGTCTGCCGCTCTCACTCTGCGCGCCACCGCGCCTGACAAATGGAAGTAAGCCAGGGAAGTAAAAGAAACACGGCTACGCCCCATGAAGCACGATGACGGCTTCATTGCCCGGGAGTGGGGGAGGGTGGGATTGGGGGGGGGGGGATCAGGGGCTCCCGAGGGCTCCAACTACCAAACGCTTTAAATATCTGCAACTGTTGCAAGTAAGCGATGTGCCGTTTGTGGAGTTCCGGAAAGGTCGAGGTAGCAGCAACTCGCTGCGGTCGGGGGTTTGCACGCCCGTAAGAGGCGCAGAAGGAGCTGTCGGGCCTCTTCGGCGGTGCGCGTCCGGGCTGTCTCTGCGGCCCTTCCCGTTTCTGAATCGTCGAGACAAGTGAAGAGCGCGGCCGTCAGCAAATATTGAGATTGTTTCAATCGCGCTCGACTGTTAAACTACAAACGCTGTGCAATTGAAGGAAGAATAAAATGAGGGGGCGTGATGAAGTGTCTCTACACAGGCAGAGGAGGGTGGGAGCCAGTTTTAATGGCGCCCGCGTATGCAGACGACCAATTAAATGAGGCTTTCGAACATTCAATTTCCCTCTGTGAAAGGCACATTCTTTACTTCTTCCCGTCTCTCCTGTGTTCTCCTGCGTGGCGGTTCCACTATTTGCTTTGGATGTAAATTCGCACCATGCATGGGGGGAGGAGGGGGCATGAGATGTGTCATATTGTCGAGTAACAAGTGTTGCAGCTCCACTGGGACTTGGTGGGTTATTGAGATTCAGAACCTTAAATGCAGAGCTGCTGAGTCTCCTTTGATATTTGGAAACCGTGGCCTTCAGCACACAGGCTGCTTTGATATGCACATTTTGAATGGAGAGAAATCAATTGAATTGAATACAGAGCTCGCTCTGCTTTTGTCTTTAATTCCTTCGTGCTTGCAAGAAAGTAATTGATTTCGGACACACCTGTATATTTTCTCAGATCCATAAGGCTAAAGAGGGGTAGAGCAAGTGCATTTGCGTTCCTTTGGTTATTGGAGCCACACTAAATAGCTCTGTAACCATGAACTCAATGCACAGTTTGACCTTCTGGACTCATTACCGACATCCTGCAGAGCGGTGAGTAGAAGAAGGCTGATAACCGTAATGGCAGTTTGTTGCATAAACCTTTAGAACTTATGTGCAGGCATTTTGTCATCTTTCTGTTAGCAGATTGTTGAACATAAGACGGTGTGCACGCTGGTTCTCCAAGAGCTTTTAACAGCTTACTTATTTCCTCGGTGAAATTGACCATCACTGATATGTAAAGTAGTACGTCTCCACATTATTTTCATCCGCCAGTAACTCACCGCCAACACGCTGTCACTGATTTGCTGCCGTTAAAAGTCCTCACAACAACTGCAGTGATTCAGCGGCGACTTATTTCATTGTCTTCTGGTCGAAGGATGAATCCGTTGAATGAACAGTTGCAGAAAGAGAACTTTTGAAGCTTGTAACACGTACTCCTCTCAAGGCATAACATTTTTCTCCTTAACGTTTCGTGAGATCGCTCTGACGCAGAAAGCAATAAAGAAGAAAAATATCTGCAGAAGATTGACTGGAATAAACCTCCAGGATCACCGCCGATTCCCCCATTTTGCTCTAATGCGCGGCTGCAACCTCTAATGCCGTTCTCATTTGACTGATTGGTTCTCCGGCGGTTGTAATTACCAAACGTCTTCAGCCGGGGGCCTTTGTGTTTCACACAGGCGAGGGACCGACTTTGTCTCAATTAGCTTTCGGTTTTATCTCCTCTCCCTTTCTCTCCACCTCACACCTCAGTGGCGCTGACAAGGATGTTTGTACCTGCTATACACAGCGGCGATATCGGCGCCATCCGTGCCACGACTTTGAAGATTAGTCGGCGAACCGTGAAGGAAGCTTTTGAAGTGTCGGGGATTCTTTGAAGTTTTGCAACGCAGGTTTTTTTTTTTTTTTTCATTCTCTAGTCGATGGGCTACGCGGAGTTTCTGTTACCTGTTTGAACATTTAGTCCGGCAATAAGAGGAGGTGGGGGAAGGGAAGGGAGGGGGGGGGAGTGCGCAGTCACACGCATCAACATAACATGATGGAGATTTGTATCATCAAAGGTCCATCTGAGCGGCGTTTCAAGCCGGCGTCTTCCTCCACGCTCCAGCGTCAAAGCTGTTTGCTTTGATAAGCATCTTCCTCTTCGGGAGTTCGCTGGAGGTAAAACTAGGCGGACACCTCCTCGCGTCGTATTTACATATTTCAGATTGCCTTGTTAAACCAACAAGTGGATTGAGAAAGTGTAATTGTGTAAATGCCCTTCCACGCAGTCCCGAATACCAACACTCGTGCAGATGTGTATCCTCGGCAGCGGTTAAGAAACTTTGCACTTGGCAGGCAAAATCATCATGCGATAAGTGTGGCATTGGAAACAGAAAAGCCTGCTCGTTGAAGCCTGACGGCCACAGCCAGGTGATCCTGGCCAGGCCGACTCTCCCCGGCCGCTCTCCTCCATGCGGAAATTAATGAACGTCCAGCGGCTTGATTGATGGTGTTGCTGGAGGTGCGAGCGCGAGCGCGGTCGGGGCAGCTGCACCGCCACCAGCGGGAAGATGACACCAACACTCGGGGGGTGGGGGGGGTGGCCGAGAAAGCGAAAGCGCTTCAAGCGAAAGGCGGGGGGGGGCCACAGGCAAAGGCATCTGCTAATCCTCTGCTCACACGCGGGTCGTGGCCACAGATGGCCGAGCACCACCCGACCCCCCCGACCCCCCATCTGCACCACCACCGGAGAAGAGGCGATGCCAAATATATATATATATATATATATATATATTCATCGTCCCTGTAACCCTTGGACTCCAAAACAGAACACGCACCGTTCATGAGTCCACGCGAGGGGCAGCGGGTGCTCAGACTGAAAAATGTGCTTATTTCGAAGACACAGTGCAGATAATATTCGCACTCGGATGCATAATAAGTCCATAAACGAAAGCTGTGAATATTAAGGTCATTTCAATTCCACTGAGCTGTTGCCAAGTCTTTGAAGCCCCCCCCCAAAAAATAGCTCGTCATCCTTCCACAATACGGCCCGTTGAGCACCCAGGGGCGCCCGTAAATAAGAAGCAACATTCTAAATGCAAACTGGTAATTGTGAGAGCGGAGAACAAGATTAAATGCAACGTCCCCTATTCTGACAAAACGCACTGTTTGGCTCCACGGCGGCTTCTGGAGCTGGAAGCCAGGGCCGCGGCACACTTTTAAAAGTGCGGATTGATGCTCGTAATGGAGAGTCTGGGTTTTGTTTTACTTCTCCCGCAGAGTAGATGTTAATACATGCTAATTTGCCCCCATTAAAAATTTGTCCCAGCTGCAGCTGCAACTTGGAGCGCTAATGATGACACATCCAGATTTAATGAGGAGAGCAGAACGGTCAACGGCCCAAATACATTAGACCCACCACATCAAGGCGCACCTCTACTGCATCGCGTCACATTTCAACAAGAAGTTGACAAGTCATTGTAAAAAGAAGATATTTTCAGAATAGTCTTCGTAAGCAATATGCAAAAGTCCAATGTCCAATGTGCAAAATAGTTATGTATTGTTAACATTTAATGAAATGCTTGTGTGCTGCTTGCTATAACATGCTTTCATTTGAATTGGCTATAATCAACGTTTTTCATTCTAACATGAATACTTGTATGTGGAGGAAGAGGTGCAATGTAACAAGTGTCTCACAGTTGCTGCAGTCCCACTTATAGTTACTCTAATACGATATGAAACTGGCATCAGTGGAAATTTAATAGTGATACTGTCGATGAACATAATCATCCATCAGTCTGCAGCCCTGAGTCCTAAAAATGGAGCTGCAAACGGCATGAACGTTGATGAAAATTTGAGCGTGAATGGAATGAGCACGGAGACATGTGAAGTTGAATAGTTTATTATCGGTTTATTCACTTTCCCATTTCCATTTTGTGACGCTCCTTTCCACCACGTCTCCGAGATAACCCGTTGCGTTCAGAGCATCTGATGAGTTAGAGCCAGTGCCCCCACCCCGAACCCATGTACGTTTAATCTCCTGTGTCTTGCACTAAACCCGAAGGATCCACCGCGGCGTTGGTGTTGCTGAGCGACCGACGTGCTCGTACGCGCCCCGATTGTGTCGGCGACTCTTAAAGCAGATGCCGTTTGTCCGATTGCTCGTTTCGTGAAGACGGGGACATTTCACACGGCCTTGGAATATCCCCCGGAGCCATGTTCTGTAGTGGGGAGGGAACATTGAAAAGGATGTGTCATAAAGCGCCCCGCCGCCATGCTAACCCATCAAATTGGATTAAGAGAGATTGATCTATTCTGCGCCCCAACAGCTTCACTGTGTTTGACCGGATTAGTTTCATTGGCCTTTGCAGCTGCATTCTGCCATTGGAAGAAATGCAATCCTGTCATTGCACTTGGAAGTGTTCCCCCCTGTCCATCACAAACAGCCGACCCCCCCCCCTTCTCGGACAAAAACAAATGCCGCTGCTCGTGTATCATCCCGTGTCACCGTGTCCCTCCCGCCTCATTCCACCCATTTCCCCTCTGCAGGTGAACGCGGGCCAACTGGCTCCATTTGCATCCCAGCTAATTGCCTCTCTGCTCCGGGCTTTCTGATAGCTGATTTGGTTTTTTGTTTTTTTTAAACAGAGTTTGGAGGGAAGAAATAAAAGGTCGAGGCTCCAGAGTGTGCAGACACCCTTTGTAGTGGAATGAGGTTTGCTGCAGGTGTAAGAAGGCTGTGATGAAACGTATAAGGAACATACGGGGAGGCTCTTCTCCCCCGACCACTCCAGTAAAATAGTATTCTCTTTCTACCTTTCAATGTAGTATAATAAGCAACATCTAGCAGTATGGCCTCAGGAACAAAAAGAACAATTGTTGTTGCCTTGACAAAACGCTCAATTAACGTCCCAGTGTGCACGAATGCATCAGCATAAATTAACCCTAACTATGTTTTCACAAGTGTACAATCAGCTTAAACTAAGAATTGCTGTGTTGTTGTTGCCTAGAATGAGCCCCTCAAATGTATTTACATATATCTCTATAGAGGCATATATATATACATATATATATGTATTCCTATGTGATGGGAGAGCACCAGTAAATGCCGGCTGGAGGTGGAGTGAGTAATCAGAGCTTGTGATTCAGAAGAACAGAAAAAAACATTAATATTATTGTCTTAGTTTACACCATTATTACACCATTATTTTAGGTTACTGTTTTAAAATATGAAAAAATGAGGCCTACTGGACAAGCAGAGTCAGGATAACAGTAAAAGATTTTGTGTTAGTTTGCAACACTGAGCTTTAAACCTGTTCTTCATCTCGTGTTTAGAGTTAATATGTGTTCAACATACGAACGCTAGCGTTTGTTCGTTTTTTCCTGACATCCCTGCTAACGTTAGCCTTGTAGCTCCTATTTGGTCTCCATCATCTCATTGCAGATATGTGCATGTAGCTGTTAAATACTCCAGTGTACGTAGCTGGTGTGCTAGTTTGGTGCTGGGCAGCTGTACGCATACAATGCGTTGAAAATGAATCACTTTAAGCTCCTCTATTAACATTACAGATTGAACGTCATTATCCAAAAGAGAAAATTGCATAAATGGATGAAAGGCACCGATGCAACAAAAAAAAAAGCGAAACAATACAGAGAATCACTACGAGGAATGATAAAAGCTTTCAGCTGATTGTATTCTAACCACTATATATTCTTCTAAAACCAGCAATGCAGAGGAATTTCTCAGCTCTGGCTCCGTGCAGATGTTTACACAGGCACAGACCCTTCATGTCGCCTCATTATGGGTCTGGAAAATAAAAACACTTTACCAAAGACGTGTTTTTTTTCTGTGTTGTTCTGACAATAGAACGCTCTGTGAGAGTCGTGAGCTGCAATACTGTGTAAATATCACGCTTAGTCATTTATCCTTCTGCAGCGCTTCAAGCATCGTTGCCGGGCAGAATTACAGCTGTTTTGTTTCTTTTTATAGACCCTATCTGCTGACTTCTTGCCAAGTTGATTTACAGCCCAACACTTCACACCTTGACTCACAAAATAAAAGGGCAGCGGATTCAAAACGTGGAGGAAAATTAGGTCTGTGTCTGGAAAACCGACCTCCTTTTTCAGGCTGCAGGTAGAATCGGGGATGTGTGATTTAATTGTCCACTATCCGCTTTGTGTTAGACCAGATTCCCTTTCCCTTTCAATTCAGACGAGATGCTGTGACTGCACTTTGTCTTTTTGGGGGGGGGGTAGAACAGCTTCACCCTCTTTCACAAAGGAGCTCAGCCGTACTGGCTGGTTGCACCACAGAAATGCTCATGCAGCCCACAATACGAACAGCAGCATTGATTTACAAAGTGAGGGAATTTATTTGCTCGGCCGTTGCCGTTGTCGCTTTCGCCGGCGGAGAGACACGCGTTTTAAGACAAGATATAAGTGGAAGGAGTGCACGAAGCCACCGTTCCACCTCTGCGGTGCATTTGAAAAGGTGCGTCGGGCTCCGGCGCTCTCTGTTCCGTCTGGCTGAGCGGCTTCTCCACGCTTCTCTCCGTCCGTCCGGCTGCCTTGGCAACAATCAGAGCAGAGTGGCAGAGAGAAGTGAGGGAATTACAAAAAGGAATCAACTCAAAGGAGATCCCTCCTCCCATGGAAAGAATGTGCATAAATCAGGCAGGTGGCCGGAGCCCAACAACAACAACAACCCCTTAAGGGCCGATGTGCTCCATAATACGGCTTCTTCCACACCGAATCCTGACTCGCCCGCCCAAAACCGCAGTGCTGACCGTGGTGCTTTTTTACTTAAAAAAAAAAAAGTGTATAAAAAGGCCTGCAAGGATTTTCCGCAATGCATCGAGAGCAAAGTGTTTCATTCCAAAAGCAGACGTCCACCTTTTGAAAATACGTGACACCTGTTCTGACAGGAGCACATCGGCATGAAAGCTGAAATGAAGACTTAACTGTCTCCTGCTCTTTGCTGACAAAGAGGCAGCGCTGTGGAAGCTGTAATCATTTTTAAAGAGCAGGCTTTGAACACCAGGTCCTCATTTTTTTTTCTCTAAAAGCCATTTGAAGGCTACATTTCTGGTTTCAAGCTCTTCTTTGTGCTTTTTTTTTCAATAAAAAATGTCAAGCCTTTTTGCAATTATTTTTCCAAATTACTCTCTCGATGACTCTCACTTCCCGTGCGGCTTCTCCCTTTGACGTTATCACCCGATAGGACGAGAAGCTTAATGGACGTTGTAAATAAACTAAACAGCGAGGTCAGCGGGAAAACCGCTGATGGAATAAATTGCCGTCCGGCTCCAAGGAAAACAACAGAGAAGACAACATGAAATATAAGAGTGAGGAGTGGTGAAAGCGCTCCGTGACCGCTGCCCGCTCCTGATTTATCTGAGGAGAGGCAATCTAGCGCTTCTCTGCTGATTCCCTGACCTGTCAGCGCGGGACGGTCGCCGGCCTGCGCGCTTAAACCGCCGTTAGCAGGCGGGCGCGGCGCCCATGTGAGTCAGCGATTAATACCCATAAATAAACGTCAAGGCCGCTCGAGAGATGGCGGAGGAGGGGTTTTGAACAACGACACGTGACCCCCCGCCCCACCCAACCCCACCCCCACCCCTCGTGGTGGCTGTGGGACGGAGTGGGAGCGTGCGTGATGTCACGCTCAGGTACAGTGGATGCATGGCGGGAAAATCTCTCTCCCCGGCCGTACCGAGGAACGCCACCGTCACTCCGGGATCGCGTCGCGTTCCACATGATCTCAGGCCGCGCCGTAATTAGCTGAATAAACCCGTTATGGGGGCGAAGGAGCTACGTTGTGCAATCGGGGAGACAAAGAGGCCACGCGGCGCCGAGGCTCCACTCTGGCGTTCCACAGCCTCCTGCACTGGAAAAATGAACTTGTGTGTGTGTGTGCAAATGTTTTGTAATATTCCAACCACATTGGAAGTTACCTTGGTAACTAATCCCATTTACCGAGGATTTGATCCATTATTCGGGTTCTTCCTCTCAAAGATTAATAGTTGTTTTCACGGTGTGTCAGAAACAGAGAGTCAGAGGAAGCAAATATTGAATATTCAGTCCTTTCTTCACAATGTTTCACGTTGTACAATGCACAAGTGTAATTCGGTTTATAATAGAAACTGTTTAAACCCTGGATTTCTACTGCTACATTAAAAAGACAATATGTAGGATATATTCGCAAAGTCATCATCTTTATTTTTTTTATTAAATATAGAACAGTGCATCCTTTCCTTGGGAGTTATATATATTTAGCCTCTGCAGCCTTTCATAAAAACTAACATTCAGGTGAAGAAAAAGGTCACAAAAGCCGAGTGTCTGAACAAAACTGTATCACAACCTCCGCATTGTGTGATCAACGGCACACGAAGCATTAGTGATGCAACAATGTGGGAATTGAGGTATTAAATTGAAAACGAGCGTAATAAAATTACACAATAAGTGTTTAGCGGTATCAGCTGGACTTAGCCTGCCCCAAACCTCTAAAGCTATGTCCTCCCATCCCCTCCCCCCCTCCCCATCTGTCTGTGTCCCAGGAGGGCAACTGGAGGAGAATGACTGGTAAACTCCAAACCAGCAACGTGACCAACAAGAATGACCCGCGCTCGCTGAACTCCAGAGTCTTTATCGGCAACCTCAACACGACCATCGTCAAGAAGACCGACATAGAGGTCATCTTCGCCAAGTACGGCAAGATAGTGGGCTGCTCCGTGCACAAAGGTTACGCCTTCGTACAGTACTTGAACGAGAGGAACGCCCGGGCAGCCGTGGCGGGAGAAAATGCCCGAGTCATCGCTGGACAGCCTCTCGGTGAGTCCTCTCTTTCTTCCACTCTTCAGTGAGGATTTCCGTAGGAGCCCGAGCTTTGCCACAGGAGTGGATTGTCTCTGTCGGGAGCACAAAACACCTCGGGCATCTCCCAGGCTTTCGGTTTAGAACCTCTCAGGGCTCCTAAACGCTGAAGTGCCTGTGTTTGTTTCTACGCTGTTTTGTTGAAAATCCCCGCTGAATCCACTAAACGAACCACCGGCAAATGTGAGCACCGTTTGATTTTAGCACTTACCAGGCAGCAGCTCGCAGAAAGTATGTCAACGTTGTAGTGACACACGTGTTAGAGCAGCAGTTGTTAAGTGGCAGGATGCAGCAACACACACACACACACACATGTTATGCAACTAGATTTGTCTCTATTGTGCATGCGCTGTGCCAAGGGTTGTATCTGTAGATGTTGCGTGTGAAATGTCTTTTATTGGTTTTGCTCAGAATAAGGTAAATATCAGGAGGAGACAATGAAAGATGGAAGTGAAGAGTGGAACTGGAATGGATTATTATGAGGTCCCCATAAGCTTCCCCCTTACGGGAATTTAGATTTGGGACACTTTGGGTGGAGGTGTGGGAGATGGGTGAACCCCAACCTCACAACATGTCTCTCAGGTCTATTTACATCCATTCATTCCGATGGGGCCGGCATTGATCTCCGAACTGATCCTTAACGCTGCTTTTTGGGCTCGAGAAGTAACTTCCTGTGGTGAACAAGCAATGATTCATTGATGAATCTAAAACTGGGCCAGGCTTCCATTGACAAACACTCAAGGTTTTGGTCAAACTGGACCAAACGGGTCTTTAAGAACTGGGATGGATTATTTAAATGTAGAATATATACAAAGTCGGCATTTACCAACAAATCCCCACAATGAAAGCCAGACGGATTTAGCAGTGATGATAAAGTTCTCCAGGTGGAGACTTTTGTTGACAGAACTATGTCGCGTGTCACTTGAGCGGCGTCGCTCTGATCTCAGGGAGGCAAGAGGGTTGCTTCAGCTGTGGTTTTGGGAAGTTAGATAAAGTCTGAGTGTCCACTGGCTTGAAGATAATCTCTTTAAACGCTGGTGCGCTCTGCCTCTCCATCAAACAGCATCCTCAGGGTGGATTTTGGGGGTTAGGTTGCAAGTTAAAGAAGACAGGTTTTCTGCAACATAATGAGCACAACCGGGTCGACTAGTTCGAGGTCTTTCCCCTTTGAAAACAACACCCCCCCCCGTCCGTTAACTCCTGTCTTAATGAAGGTTGGTTCTAACTCATGTGCAGGAAAAATCTAATATTTCAAGAGAGAAGATTCGGAGCTCATTTAAAGGTTGCGTCTCCTCTGCATCAAAAGGACAGACTGCATTTATCAACCTAAACATCACAACAGTAATCTGACTCGACTGTCACGGCCTCTTCTGAAATCCATTTGGCTGCAGAGGCAGCGATTCTTCATCCGCCGTCCTATATTGCAAAGATGGTGGCTGATTTATGACGGCCTGTCTGTTTGGACAGGTATGAAATGTAACCTTTCCACGGGGGAACAAATGTGATGCTAAGAAGTGATTTTCTGATCTGATTCCACTGCAGCAATGGATGGAGGACGGAAAAGACAACAATCAAACAGCAAGTAACCCGGAGCTCTGTTTGCCTGTTTAATGGCGGTAACATGTTTTTGTATTAGCTTCATATTTGGCCGTGTGAATGTTTTCAATAGCAGAAAAACACATCAGTTAGCAAAACAAAGTCGCAACCAGAACATCCGCCGCGCAGATCCGAAACCATCACCGAGCACTCTGACGTTTCCATAGCGACAGTGAGTTTTAATTCTTACTTTCCTGCAGATCTTTTGATTCCCTTCATGTGTGATTTCTTGCTTTTGGGTTGAGAACGCCGACACAATCAAAAGCATTGTCATCCAAACTGACCCGGAGGCAAAGTCATCGTCGTTATCACTCAATCTACAAGTCGTGTGGCGGGAGCGTAACTGCGAGATACATTCTTACATTGACAATTAAGTCACACCCTCAGTCCCAGTCGCTGAAGCCGATGCTTCCTCTGTTAGCATGGCGAAGGGATGAATCAGCCACATAGTGAAGAACGACCTCCACGAAGGAAAAACCTTGTGGTCACATCTGTAGGTGACCACATTTTGCCACTGCATTCAGGCTGTGTGTTCCCACCGCCCTTCGGCTGCACGGATCGCCCTCGGAGAGGAGTGGAGCGTGCCGTCGTGCGGGTCTGCGGTGGTCAGAGGAGCTCAGCGGAAATAATCACATCACACCACGAGCGCGCGGATCCACCTCGGCCGCCCCGACGCGCCGCCGATGACTAATCTCTGCACCGGATGACACAAGCGTCAAGGGTCGTAGCCGGCCGCCGCCACGGAAGATGCGACTGTCACACTGCGCGCTTGTGTTTGTGTGTGTGTGTGTGTGTGTGGAAAGCGACTGATGAACAAAAAGCAAAAATTCTATTACAGCACAGCTGGCTTCCTCCCCTCCGCTCAGTGGGAAAAAAGTCAATGCTCCATTACCCTATCTATACATAGCGCTTCACGAGATCAAATTGTGGATTGTGCGCACAGCAATCATTACTAAGTAGCAGTGTGTGCACTGCTATTCTGGATGGAGCTGTCTCTACACAATTTAAAGTTAAGAAATTCCCCTAACAGCACTCCGCATGGGGCAGGAACACTCAAAGCCAGACGGGGTCGCAATTAATAAGATGAAGTATACAAATCCTTTGAAAACCAGGAGCTGAAATCAATCTGACTGTTCCGCTGCTCTGAAGTCTTTTTTCTTCACCTGGGGAGGGATGCTAATGAGTTGTCATGGTTGCTTAGTAACAGGGTCACTTGCAACTGCAAAAAAAAAAAACGGGAAACCTAACCTAAGGTTAACTTCTACCGAGGAGTCGATGGAGCAGAAAGAAAGAAAATCCACCAGTCTGACTGCATGAAATGCAAAGAGGAAATCCAACAATGTCATCCAGAATATGAGAGGAACACTGAGCACCGCCTCCACGGCGCCGCCATCCCCAAAACGTCTATTAGTTCAGTCTCTCCAGAGCCAATGGCAACCAAAACCAATCATATTATTAGTTCGTAAATGACGTGTTTGTCTTGTCTGGCCGAGTGAAGCCTAATATCAGTAATTATATGGGATCTCTGCCTGTACAACACTCCCACATCCGTACACCGAAGGCGGCGGCTGCCACACGAGACCCCCGACCTGTCCGTCGGCATCTTCTCCAGGCGCCAGTTCACGCGCACACTCGCTCCCGAAGGCCGAGCCGTCATTCTGGGTTCAGCTTCCGGATCAGCGTCCGTCCAGTGAACCGCCCATCTTCCGATTCGCGGGCGGGAACGACCTCCCGAGCCACGACCGCCGCCACAAACCTCTCTACCTTTGTTGTTGTTGTTGTTGTTGTTGTGTGTTCACTTCCCTCCGGCTGGAAGCCGAGTGGGGAACGCGGCGTTGACGTGATGATTGCTGGCATCACGTCTCCTGTATCTCCTCCTCCTCCCGTCAAAGAGCGACGGATTGTTCCCCCGGGGTCCACGTGCAGACAACGACAGCGTGCTCAACTCAAGGCCCTTTGGAAGAGTTTGACTCGAAGACGCGAGCTGCCCCGGAGAAGGCAGAGAGGTTAATAACAGAGCGAGAGGCCCGCTAACGACGTCTCCGGAGGGTCCGTCTGGAAGCCGCCACGCCCGGAGAATCTTCCCTTCCCGTTGAGCGTCCTGACCCCGACGGCTCTGCGTTCCCCTTCCCACCTGGAAGTTTCGTGCTGAAGGTCCATCCCATTACAATGTTAATGTCCACGGCGAAGGATAATGTGTGATGGATCACCGGCGATGCCGCCTCCAAATGGCACTGGCAAGAGTTGGGCACATAAATAATAAAGTGATTTAGATGCTAAATCCATCCTAAGCGGATTACAGAGGCAGCGGCACCGCCATCAATCGTCGTTTTGGGCCAACGCGATGCATAGCAAGGACCGCAGAACGCAGGAGCGTCTCGGGAAGAAGGGGTGGGGGGGGGGGGCGAGCAGACGCAAGGGGGGGCTCTGCTTTACATGTGCAGTGTGTAAAAGGTGGGGTTTGTGCCCCGTGACATGTGTAAAAACATACACCCAAAGGAGGAAATGTTTGACGACCCATTTTTCTTTGTTGCTGATAACTGGCCAAATACAGCTGGTGCTTTGTCATCTTTGGAATATTTCCAGGCATCACTACAATGGGCTTTGATGGAATGAATGCTTTCTATTTTCTTAAAGGCCTTTTGTGGTTGTTTCATTTGGAAGTTGACAATTGTGCGACATGTGTGGAAAAACACCATGTTGACAATGTTGTTGGATCAGTGGCTTAAAGGTACTTTTTTTTCCCAATACGTTTGTCAGCCATGTGACTTTTGTATTAAACTAATATCCCCTTTGGAAAAACATATATACATATATATATATATATATATATATATATATATATATATATATATATATATATACATTAGAACATTTTTCTTAACTACTGCTGACACACAATCACATCCCAATGTTTTTCCTCCTGTCTTTGTTTTTATCATTTTTCACATTGTTCAGCTTTTGAAATCCCTGATAGTTGATCAAATACTGTCACACAGTTTGAGCTGCAATGTCACCGTCTCTGACTCCGAGTGAGAGTTTGTTGTTGTTTACTTAAACACAAAAACACGAGAGAAGAGGATCCAGGCGGAGAAAAAAAAGTCATTTGCGACACTTTCTCGCAAAATACACGCAACTCCTCCAATCTGTAAATATCTAAGTCTTACAGATATAAGAGAATACCAGAGGGGGATTTTATTTATTTTTCTTTAATGTCAATCCAAACCAATCAATTCTCTCTCTCTCTCATTCACATTAGTATTCTCAGGCTCGCGTTCACTTTGAAATTTGCATAGATAATTCCAGCTAAGTATACACAATAACTGCACAGCTTGGTAACTTTATTTAGAGCGCCAGGTTCG